ATTGAGGCCAAGGTTGGAGCCAGGGGAGGAGGGACTCCAGGGTAGGTAATTTGCAGTGCGGCAAAAGTCCGAATGTGCAAAGTTACGGTAGTCATGACTACGGTGAATAATAAGGCACTGTTCACAGTTTTCGAATCATCAGAGCGTTCGAATTCGCGAAAAGAATTACATACGTATGAACCACGAAAATCTGCGCACGCGCGAACGCGGAAGCGAAACCGTTTAGATGCGTATCGACGTAGTCAACTCCGCCCTCTCACCGTTTCACGTCGACGTACCGAAAGCGCGAAACGGTGGGCCGCCTCCAATCCACTGCTCGAAACATAAATCTCTTACGATGGGCTTAGCAGATTCAAATGCGCGACTCGACACCCCTCCCACATTGTGCACGATACGCATTTGATTCCTTTCGCAAATGCGGAGATTTTCTCGCCTGAAACGTCCTTCGGGTATGAGCAGACTCTGAACAGTGAATAACGGTTGAGGGAATCTTCGAACATGCCACGTAAGGCAGTGTTCACACCTTGCGCCACAGCCGAAGGACGCTCGAAACGAACGAATCTGCGGATCTGCGAAAAGATTCAAATGCGTATCGATCACAAAATGGGAGGGGCTTCGAATCGCGCATTCGAATTTGCGAATCCTTTTGAAAGAGATGTATGTCTATCGATCAGGTGAAATGGAGGCGGCCATCGTTTCGCGCTTTCGAAGCCTCGACGCGAAACGCTGATAGGGCGGAGTTGACTACGTCGATACGCATCTAAACCTTTTCGCATCCGCGTTCGCGCGTGCGCAGATTCTCATGGTCGATACGTATATAATTTCTTTTCGCGAATTCGAATATTCGGATGATTCGAAAACTGTGAACAATGCCTAACGCAAGCGTGTTTACGCCTAATATGAGGTCATATCCTAACCCTCCCCCGGCTATAGAAAAAATCCTTTTCAATTTCCTCTGTTTTCTCAACAAAAATTGTCCTAAGAATGGCCTACTTGTAATGTTTGTACGCGTATGGAAGCAACACACCAAGTGAAGGTATCCTTTCTTTCATCTCTAGGGAAGGATAGGGTGCGGCTCCTTATGCGGACAAAGTCGAAATATTAAGAAAATGCGAAATTTCAAACTCAAAAAAGTTGAAACGTTAAGACAAACAACCATAAGAATCGAAACTTAAAGACAAAACAACCACAAGAATCGATAGAAAAGAAAGTTTTAAAGTTGAGAGACTCACCGGCTTGAAAGAACAACACACGACAGCTGGATAGAGTGTCCACAAACTCGGGAACTGAAATGAGCCTAAATTAACAACTTGAGTGAGAACAAAGTAACTGAAGCAAGACAGCTTACCTCTCACAATTACGAGAAAGACAGGAAAAACTTACGACAGACGAAAAGCGACCTGAATATATACTTCAAATAAAAACAGTGGTACTAATAAACCTAAAAAGCCTACCGCTTGAGTTAGAGCTGCGTTGATGAGAACAACCGTGACAACGGAGAGCGACCTATACCACGACATGAATGACAGCAAAGAAAAAGAAACAAAAAAGCTCACCTTTCACAAATGCAAAGAAAGCACGACAAGTTTATGAAGGGTGAAGCGTGAACTGAATAGATGTTCCGAACAAAAGCAATGGTAGCAAGGAATTTAAGGAAAACACCGCTGCTCGATCAGGAGCCCGGGTTGAAGAAACCGTGGCGACAGCCAGAAGCGGATTAAAACAACAATATGAATGCCAACATGGCTAAAAGCGAGGAAATCATGTACAGAGAGCAATATTGCGACATGACAAACAAACGGAACTTGGATGAAAAAGCAAGGTGCTACCTTAGTTTAGGGGGCACGCGGCGGCGCGGCGTTGTGTTCATCTGTTCCCCTCCCCGATGGCGCGTATTTCGATAACTGCCACATGATGACGAAATAGTAACTGCCCTGGGACTAAGCCTTGGAGGAGCAGACGAACAGAGCGCCGCGCCGCCGCGTCCCCCCCCCCAACTAAGATAGCACGAAAGCAAAAAGCAAGTTAAAGCAAGCATGGTACACGGCTATTAGACGCCTCCCCTATAATTACAGCGAGAAAATGAACATGAAGGCAACGACGAAAAAAAGAGAATTGAATAGCGTGAAACAAAGGTGACACACAGCTATTATTCACCTATCCTACAGTGCCGAGCGATCAAGGCCGCAGGAAACCCGAAATACAGCCGTCCATTCTCCGCGTCACCAAGTGAGGGGACGCTTGTGAATGACGAAGTCACGAACGACGCACATAAGCTTACCCCCTTGCTTGTTCAAGATTCTAGCTTTTTTCCTGAGAGATCTGTCATATTCAATATTTTTACGCGTATAGTCGGGTCTTGCGTAGGAGTCGCTTGTCAGCGACTGTCGACCCGCCCTCACATTTGCAAGCAACCTATCTCTGGACTACCAGAGAGCAATTTTGTAGCATGAGAGTAACGCATATTGATCCCCTAACTTTTGGGATGACGATAAATTTCAATCTTACCGAATGAGCAGCGAGGAGCTCATGTCCACCAGGATTTAACCATGACTCTTTGACATCTCTGTCAGAGGGGTCTGCGTGGCCTCCTCAAATTCTTTTCGTCGGTACCAACCCACGTGATTGTGATACTCGCTTTGGAATCCACGATCCGCATCTTTTTTGAATTTTACAAGCGCACTATATAGCACGAATTTTGGACGAGACGGTGTCTCATCTACAAAAAGAAAGTTCACTTTCTATGGCACTAAGCCTACTCAGAATAGCTCACTGAGGCTCTGCTCCTGCTCTATTCATGCCAAAATGTATAATAAAACGGATAGTTTTGGATTTGACATCAAAATGTTTCCAAATTCCACAACTAACATTTCTTCCCATATCAAATATAATACAATTTATAATGAAATTTTACGAGTCGAACATACATGTTACCGGAAAATGGAACTTAATAGATAAACTTAGATACACTACGTTACAACTTAATACCGAGAGAAATGGGAACTTTATAGATAGACTTAAATGCACTATGCTACAACTTAATACATCAGGTTATGATGACGATCATGTTTCTCTTATGCCTTTAAGTTTTTAATCAAAAATAAGTTCATTTTATTCATGTACAAATTACGGAAAAACAATTTAAAACAACTACTGGAATAGGTTTAAACGGATTTTATTGTCCATCAAATCTTGTGTTATACAATTGCCTAGGGTAATCACTAACCTCAGTTTTTGGGCGCAGGTCGTTTTCCAAGGTATTGTTATCCTCAACAATTGCCTATTCACTCCGTGTGGAAATATCAAACAGTTTCTCCTCTCCCTGAATACCAGCTACAAATGCTCATCACAGTCATTAAATTGCTACCTTCATTGCGATAGTCACGATGAATTCACCAAGATAAACTTGCCGCTGAACCTAGACAGGAAGAAAACGCTGGGCGAGTTTTCCGCGTCATCACAGTTTGCAATTCCATGCGAGCGATGCATTTCGGTTGTGGACAAGGTCCACTGTCCCTTCAATGCCATCGATCGGGGATCATCGTTCCGAATTTGAATGCGGTAGTGACGTGGGGAGGGCCGCGAGGCCCAAGTTGAAAAGGGTGAGAGGGACTGCGAAAAGTAATCAAAATCATTATATAAGGTACATAGCATGAGAATTCTTGCTAACGAAAATGTATGCATTTACCAGGGCACTTCGTGGTTTCAGATTTTGGACAACGTAGTTCTTAAGGGGGGCGGTAATTAGAGGGTAGAGCAACCGGTACAAACTAATCCTACTCACGACAAAAATGCAATCCATACTTGCCTCGAAGGAGGATCCTACGACAAAGACGAAGGTTGAGGAAGGAGAAACTCACCCAATGAGAGGACAAGCGGACCTCTTGAGGACGACATTGCGATCGCATGCGAGGTAGGTGCCCGGCGACCTAAGATTTTTTTGACCGGGGAGATATACAGGGGTGGCCAAAAAAAAGAGACACTTTGCCTATGGCGCACATCATCGAACTTTTTGTCGCACAGGGCGCCGATGTTAATGAGAGTTTTATGGCGGAATATTCCTAAGATGTTCCCACGTAAGCAGAAGTAGGCCCTTTTTCACTGCCTCCACCGTCTTCAAAATATGACGTCATCTGTCGTCACCGTCGAGCTCAACGAGGCTTGCTGTAATCGCTCCGGCCTGAAGCTGCTACATGATTTCTTCAATTGATTAGATGGTGAATAACTTCTAGGAGACACTAGCTGTTACTGTGCAAGACCGCTTTTAACCAGCGTTTCGGGGAGGTCGTAATGGCCTATGGTACATCGACGACCTCGTTGAGCTCGTACCGTGAACCATGTTTCCGTGGGAAAATCTTCTGATGTAGTCGGTGCAGAAGGCTGTCACGTGACATTTAGATAGATTAGAGTGTGCTCTTTAATACTAAGTTGGGTTCAGTCGATTTGATTCTAGCAAAGTGTGATTAATGCTGGCTGAACTTTGAAGTGAAGTGTCTCTTTTTTTTGGCCACCCCTGTATATTTGGCCGCGCTATCGCCGTCGAATGTCCCCTCTCTCCCTCTCTGAGCCTCTAACTGTTTAGATAGAGAGCGTTAGCATTGAAGAGGGTAGCACCGATGGGGAGTCGCATTAATGCGGTAACCAACGAGCACGGAATAGGCAATTCTAGGCTGACTTTCTCGTTTTTTTTTTTTTTCGTGTTTCACTGGCTATCCCTAACTAATTTCAAGGAGCTTGGCATCTTCATCGTAAATCTGGCTTGAAGAATGACGGAGGATGAGACTTAGAGCGACGTTTTATTACGATTTTACCTCTACCTACAATCGGGGCCGACCGATGTACAAATCAATATTCGTTTCTCCCTGTGAGTATGGCACCATCTGACCGAAACCAAGCTGGGATGAACTCGGGCATACGTTTTTTAGTGACGCCCCCTGCCACTTCCTCAAGAAAAAAACTGGAGAGTAAATTTATTATTAACTCCTTTGTCACAGCAGAATTCATCGGTCAGTCATTCGAATCTTGATTTGGCAAGGCAGTGATATTCGCGCGGTTGTACTGTAGTGCCGAAACGTCTTCTTCATCGATGGTGGCTCATTTGGATCTTCACAGGATAGCTGGAATTAGAGGTATACCACGTGTGAAAATGGGTAGTTCTTTGTACCCGAAAACTATGAGAGACTGTATTTTTCTCACCTCGAATCGATTGAAAAGGTTGGCGATGAATAGAAATAATTCCATTTTGGCTAGACCCTCTCCTAGACATTGACGTTTCCCGATAGAGAAGGGTATCAGCTCGTCTACCTTAATGGATAATTTTGATCAGTACTCAACCACGCACTTAACTTACCATGACAATGCACTAACCTTCTTTAGCTTTCCGTTCTCATCAATAAATCTGGAAGGATTGAAAGTATACGGAGCTGGAAACACCTGGAAGTAGCTGTATATTTTATTGTAACGGCCTAATAGTGTCTCCTCTTTCGTAATTTACACCAGACATTTTCCTCATTCCCATGCAGTCGATTGGAATTCCCGCTATCTTCCCAAATTCTATCTAACCCAGCGACAGCCATTGCACGTGCATTGTAGGACCTTTTTCCCACATTTTTCGTCAACAGTCACCTTTCAATTTTTTCTTAATAGTGAGAATACATTGTATCGGACAGTAACGTATGTGGGACCTGTCGAACACGAAAAAATACCAAATAAATCAAGCAAAAAGAGTCTTTTTAATGTTAAAATGTGGCTCGCTATCGCTAATGGGATAAGGGCTGAGGGTGTCTATAAAGAGTCTTCATATCCTAAAGAGATGGTCGTAAGATTAGCGGAGTGGAGAAATCTACAGCAAGCCTACAGTGCGTACCAAAAGTATGTGTTTTTTGTTTCTGTTTTTTTGGCTTTTCCATTAATTAAAATAATTCAGAGCTGCATGTAAAACGGTGAGAAATGAAAAATTTGAGGTTATCTGAATCGGAGAAATCGAATGGTGGCGATCTCATGGTGCAGAACTCAACAGTTCCTCA